ACGTTTAATTTAAAGGGTTGAACAAAAATATGTGATAGAAAATGTAGGAATTGTACACATTTGTTTACAAACACTCCACATTTTAGGAGCTCAAAAGTAATTGGACATATAAACATAACCCAAACAAAAAAGTTTTTTGTCAGTATTTTGTTGCGAATCCTTTGGAGGCAATCACTGCCTTAAGTCTGGAACCCATGGACATCACCAAACGCTCCTTCTTAATGCTTTGCCAGGCCTTTACAGCCGCAGCCTTCAGGTCTTGCTTGTTAGTGGGTCTTTCCGTCTGAAGTCTGGATTTGAGCAAGTGAAATGCATGCTCAATTGGGTTAAGATCTGGTGATTGACTTGGCCATTGCAGAATATTCCACCTTTTTGCTCTCATGAACTCCTGGGTAGCTTTGGCTGTATGCTTGGGGTCATTATCCATCTGTACTGTGAAGCGCCGTCCGATCAACTTTGCAGCATTTGGCTGAATCTGGGCTGACAGTATATCCCGGTACACTTCAGAATTCATCCAGCTACTCTTGTCTGCTGTTATGTCATCAATAAACACAAGTGACCCAGTGCCATTGAAAGCCATGCATGCCCATGCCATCATGTAGCCTCCACCATGTTTTACAGAGGATTCCACAGGCCAGAGTTAAATTGTGCCTTGGATCATGTGCCGTTCCCTTTCTTCTCCAAACTTTTTTCTTCCCATCATTCTGGTACAGGTTGATCTTTGTCTCATCTGTCCATAGAATACTTTTCCAGAACTGGGCTGGCTTCTTGAGGTGTTTTTGGGCAAATTTAACTCTGGCCTGTCTATTTTTGGAATTGATGAATGGTTTGCATCTACATGTGAACCCTTTGTATTGCTTTCATGGAGTCTTCTCTTTACTGTTGACTTAGAGACAGATACACCTACTTCTCTGAGAGTGTTCTGGACCTCAGTTGATGTTGTGAACGGGTTCTTCTTCACCAAAGAAAGTATGCGGCGATCATCCACCACCGTTGTCTTCCGTGGACGCCCAGGCCTTTTTGAGTTCCCAAGCTCACCAGTCAATTCCTTTTTCCTCAGAATGTACCAGACTGTTGATTTTGCTACTCCAAGCATGTCTGCTATCTCTGTGATGGATTTTTTCCTTTTTTTCAGCCTCAGGATGTTCTGCTTCACCTCAATTGAGAGCTCCTTTGACCGCATGTTGTCTGGTCACAGCAACAGCTTCCAAATGCAAAACCACACACCTGGAAACAACCCCAGACCTTTTAACTACTTACTTGATTACAGGTTAACGAGGGAAAGGCCTTTTGAGTTACTTGCAGCCTTTGGAGTCCATTGTCCAATTACTTTTGGTCCCTTGAAAAAGAGGAGGCTCTGCATTACAGAGCTATGATTCCTAAACCCTTTCTCCGATTTGGATGTGGAAACTCTCATATTGCAGCTGGGAGTGTGCACTTTCAGCCCATACTATATATAAATTGTATTTATGAACATATTTTTGTCAACAGTTAAAATAACAAAACCTGTGTCACTGTCCAAATATTTCTGGCCCTAACTGTAAATGTGTTATTTTTCCTTTACTACCATCTGCTGGGCGTTTAAAGGCATTACAATATCCAGAATAGAATCGAGTAGAATAGTATAGAATGTGTTAAAGTCATTCTTATAAAAACATCCTCAAGCAGCATCTGATCAGCTGTCAATGAAGAACCAACATCCAAATACTTAGAGCAAAGGACCAGTAAATGGCTCCTGTGAAATGTTGCACACTTCCTTCCATTACACCGAGGCAAAAAGAGAAAGGGAATCTGCCCAGATCTTATATTCACTAATAAGAATATAATCAAAGGTTTTTTTATATCAGTAATACAGGTCAACAGGTGATTCATAACACACAGAGTGAAATATTTTAAATATTTTACATAATCATAGTTTGTTGATTATGGCTTTTTAAGATTATAGAGATGATTATGGTCCACACCATAATGTTTTCTGACGTTGAAATTCAGCAGAACCATCATCCAGGAAATTTTAGAGCACTCAACACTTCCTTTTGCTGCTTTATGGAGATATAGATTTTGTTTTCCAGAGCAGGACTTGGCTGCTGTCCTCACTGTCAAAGGTATCAGATTCTGGTTCATTGACCTCGGTGTTACTACTCTTCACCAGAGAACTGGCCTGACCTGAACCCCAAGAGAAACACCTGTAGGTCACGATGAAAGTAACCTCTCCGCACAATCAGAGGCTGATCCCCTCCATGACACAAAAGACTGATGCAGTAATGCATGCAATTGAAAGCCCACTCAAGTATTGAGTTCAAATACAAAATAATACATGGAGACAGTAGCCTGGCATTCCTGTTATAAATATATTTTTTATGTTTATTATTATTATTTTATTCTTTTTTTCTGTGCTAAAAAACGTGACGTCATTGTTGATATGAGCAAAATAGGTTTTTTATTTTTAACACATAAATCTGTTTTGAACTAAGTTACGTCTCACCACAAGGGGGCGATCGAGGCTTTAGAATGAGTTCTGTTCAGTTTCCTGTTCTGGATCAAATAACTTGTTTGGCAAGTATTTTTGCTGAATGAACTCGCAGTCTCTGTATGTCTATATTTAGTTAGATATCTCAGGAAAGTATTATTATTTTGGGGGGTTTGTTTGTTTCCTTTTTTTTTCTTCTTTTTATTGAAATTTTAAATCTTGAGTTGACTTCTACAATCAAGGTTTTATCAAATATTTGTATTCATTGCATCATAGCATATAAAAAATATTTTGAGATTTACTGCTAATCCCCTTAATGACTGATGTTATTAAAATATTTTTTCATAGTAACACAACTTTTTTGATCTGGATTTCTAAAATAAAGCTTATGGGTTAAAATTATATGTTGCAGATTTACGAAACATAAGAAAGTAGTCTTGCACATATCTTAAAGTTGCTTTACCTTTTCCAGAAATACAGGATTTTATGTAGAGCAATTAGCCAGAATAGTATGACTTTATTTCCCCGGACAGAGCAACAAGCAGTTCAGACAGGCAAAAACATCTATGGGTCTCCCATGAAATTGTGAGGTAGGATTTGACACAGTTTGGGCAGCTAAACATCAATTTCTCTCCATGGAATTTGGAAATATTGAAATACATTAATATGAGTTATGATTATTTTCTATCAAGAAATACAATAAATCACATTCTCTTTTATCTATGACTCACATCTTGCTGACTGCTTTCCATTTTCTTGTCTGTGTAAATTCTCAATTACCATAGATGAGTATCTTCTGTAAGACTTTATTTATAGTGAAGACCTTGATAAAAAATAAAGAACAAACCGAGAGTAAAGCTGGTACATTCTTCAAATGTCTTGAATGTGTCTTAGCTGTACATTCGATGAAGTAACATCAGCCCCTGTGCTTTTGAATATATTTGAAGGAATGTTGTCATGTTTGACTATTGTCCTGTTCAAGATGAGTTGACGCTACAGAAGGGCGTTTGTTTTAGTGGGTGCCATATGTCTGCAAAACATTCATTTTCCCAATTAGCTGCTGCTCTCCACAGTTCAAAAACAAACATGCTGGGTTAGCTGATAACTCTAAAATGGTATGAGGTTTTCAGTCAATTTATAGCATCTTTGAGTGCATCATGAACATTGACATGTTTACAGCCATGATTACAAACTTGTAGGCCCACAGTGACCAGATAAGTAAGGGAAACAGGATGATCATGCAGAACATGAGAAGCTTAAATAGTGAAGAGCTTGATTACTAACAAAAGGCAGGTGGCTGATTGGAAACAGGTTGCAGCTGCGAAAGAGGGCAAACCATGCAGGCTGAGGGAAACTGAAGAGAAGATAAAAGAGCAACAAAACCAAAGAAGACTGACACTAATTAAAGAAAATTAAATTCAGATCTACAAAAACAATGAAAGAATAAAACTGACAAATGAAATACAAAAGAATGAAACTGACAAATGAAATACAAAAGAATGAACTGAAATGGCCAAAATGAAACTGATATGAATAAACATATCATAGCCATATTGGAGGGATTTCTGGACTAATATCTCAGCCTGCATCAGGTATGGACTTCAACTGGAACTTAAATTTTCACTCTTTACTTTTTATTATTTAGATGTGAACTTGTTGGTTGTCTTTGGGCCATTGTTCTGCTACATAACTCTAGAATGCATGGTTCTGTCAAATATGGCAGGTCATATCAGGGTGGTGAAGCACAAAGCGGCCTCAGAACAACCCTCTACCACCAACATGTTTGATTTATCGTAGATTACATTTTATTCCAGATTCCTGAAATTATGAACACATGAGTCATCAATGTAGTTCTGGACTTGGTAATTGGGTGACTCTTAGAAGGCTTAATGGTGTTCAATGTTTTCTCTTTATCTGGTTAAATCTTGCTGCAGTTCACTTGATCAAAGCCTCACAGCTTTGTGACAACCAATGCCAGATTAATTTGATTTAGGAAGCAATTAAATTTCTGCACAAGTTAAGGTTAGTTTGAAAAGTATTTTTTTCCCTCTCAATAAATAAAACCATCATTTGAAAGCAGTTGGGATTTACTTGAGCTATCTTTATCTGCATTGAATAATAATCTTGAACATTTGAAAATAAAAATAAGGAAACCTTTGAGCACAATCTATTCATTAAAACGTTTTTTTTGGGGGGGGGGTAAAGTTTGATTTTAGTTTCAGTGTGTTTATTTTGATGATTGTGTGTGAATGGAACAGTCTTTTGCTGAACGCAAAGTGGTTTATTTTTGTTTGTTTAGTTTTTTTTTTCCTCCTGTGTCCCCTGAAACTTACGCACAGTGGTAACTGCATCCAGCAACGGAAACTCTGGCGCTTTTAAAGTGAACACTGTGTACGATGGAGCTGCTATATGGACTTATTGGCTTTACTGGTTAGCAGCAGCGTCTCCGCGCTCTGATTGGCTCAGGGCGCAGTGATGCTGTCTGCATCCTGCTCTGTCAGGCAGGACAGGAGGGGAGGGGAGCTGGAGGCGCGGCTCGGAGATCATCACTTAACAGAGAGAGACAAAATAACAATTTCCCTCGTCATGTGAAAGAGGTGCCATTTGTCAACATGCGTGGGGCGACAAAAGCGGCGGCCGCATCCAGCCCGTGACCGCTCCTCCTGCTCGCCCTGCAAGACGGCGGCGGACGGCAGTCTGACTCGGTGAAAGTGTCACCTTTCCACTCAGTGAACGCGGGTCGGCAGTGTGAACTCAGGAGCCATGAGCGTGTCCGGGAACGACCCGCAGAGTTTACTGTCCTACCAGGTAAAGTGGATTTTGATTCATAAAGTGCAGCGCCAGTTGCAGTTCAAACAACTGGGACTGATCTCAGAAATGGAGAGTTCTCACATTTTTCTCAACTGTTTCCCCTCTGCATTAACTTGGAGACGCTCCGCGCGATGCTGAGGACTGTGACGTGTTGAATTGCGTCTCGCTCGTGACAGAAAGGGGATTGTTGATGCTGTTTTTTGCGAGGTGCCAGCACGTGCATCAGCTCTGAGATCGCATCACGTTGCATTGCACAGGCGGACCTCAGCTGCCGAGACCACCGCTCAGGCATAAATTAACGCGCGTCCCCTGGATGGAGACGTCATGGCCACATTACTGGGAGAGCGCAGAGAGTTATTGATTAGGGACAGAAGGACACACTCCCTATGCATTAATAAAAGTCAACTGCTCGTCCCCTTGGGGTCACGTGTTGTGGCGAAGGAGAATAGGATTTGGGCTTTTTATTTATTTCTTCTTTTTTATCTTTGGAGATGTGTTTATTTAGTAATTACCCCCAAATGACCTTGACGCCATTCCTTCACCGTGTTTCATAAGGAGCTGTCTCTACTTTCAGTGAGAGCAGGACAGACAGTGTGACTGAAACTGAGGAAGCTGGGACATCCAGTACCCTGTTAGGTCCCCTTCCACTTCACTCTGCTGCATAATAGTTTAATGGACTTGTTGCAGGCTACACCTCAACAGTCATGTTATCATGGTGTGTTAGACTAACATCCTGTCAGTGTGCAGGGAACAGATGGAGAAGAACCAGACCTGAGCTGGAGAGTCTCAGATATCAATAGACCACTTTCAGACCAGGGGGAGAAACGGCCTCTGAGCGTCACCCTTGAAGCAAGTTATGTAACCTTATTGTGATGTCTGTAAGGCTGCCTATCTGAAACACCTGGACTGTGCAGTCTGCATTTCCTGCAACTCTTTTCACCTGAAACATGCTGTGATGTCCACGTATTACAGCCATAGCCAATGAGATAGCCAGATGACAGACTGATCCTGAAAACAATGTCAGATAAACAATTTTTTTGTCATAGGATTGCACAAAAAAAGATATTGTTAAGGCAATAACAATATTGCTTTTTATCTACTAAGAAAATAATAGCTGCATTAGTGAACTCCATTGAATATACAGTGGTTGTAAACGTGAGACATGACTAAACTTTTTCTGCTTTTTCCTGCTCAAACCACTCTATAAGCAGAGAAATAACTTTTAAAAAATTAAGACTTTTTAAAAACATTTATAATTCACAAGTTTACATACAGTATATTTTCTTAATTTCAAATAGTTGCCTTTTTAAACTCCATGACTTGCTTCAAAGTCAAATGTTTTAGATATATTATTCCTCAAGTCTCCGATTTGGTGCTGGACTTAACTTTAGTGTCTCCATAACGTCTTTCTTTTTGTCTGGGTTTGATACGGACAATTTTCACCAAAGTATGTTGGTTTCTGGGACTCAGAGCCCATCTCCTTCCTGATCAGCATGTTGGCAAGATGTTCCCATGGCACTTCAATCTGCATTTTATTATTCGGAAAAAATGCAAACAATAATGTGCTTTACTATCTGCATATTATTATTCTGAAGTTTCCTTAGACATCTAGAAATTGTAGCCGGAGGACAGAGATTAAAATGCTTTGTTTACACTTTAACTGCTTCACTGAGCATTTTTCTGTCCTGAAAATATTATTTTCTGAAGTTCAAACTGTGCACCAAAATGAAAAGAATGGCAATCTAAGTTACTTTACATGTGGCACAGTTGTTGGTGGTGAATGTTTTAAAAGGTGTTGACTTACTGGAATATTTATGTGTGTCAAAGAAATAGCATGATTCAGAGATATTGAAGGAACATTTGAAGACATCTTAAACAAAACTGAGTCTTCTAACCAGACGACTTTACGCAAACCACCAAATTAGTTGACAATTTGCCTAAGCACAAGGAAATAAATGTCTCGGGTCACAAAACTAGAACTTTGTGGGCCGAGCTGAGAAGGTGCATGTGAGGAAGGCTGCTTATAAACTTGACTCGGTTCTGTGAGAAGAAATCAGTCAAATTTTCAGCAAACTATCCGTGCAAAGCCTGTGGGAACATATTCGAATCCTCTGACCCAAGTAATAGAGTTCAAATGCAATTCTACAAAAAACAAATGGAAGTACTTTAACATCTGAATTAAATGAGGATGAATTAGATTGGATTGTTCTCATAGTTCTATTGTTTTGACATAATTTATTATCTTAAGTGATTTAATATCAGCGCTACAAAAAATATTGACTTTTTAATAGTTTTGTGTAAATATCTTAACACACTATGTGTGTTTGCTGTTACATTTCTCTACTGCATCTGCAGTTGTTATGTTGCATGTGTCCCGCACTTTGATTTTAATCAGTTTATTGGCATAGTTTCCAATTAGCTGGAGCGATCCATAAGCAAGTCTGACTGAATGTGAACTCTGGAGAGTACAGCTGTACACATTGGGATGCAAGTCGTACTCAGTATATCCCTCCATATGTTAAAAGAATGTAGTTATGTGTCACACCTGAAGGCTTTACAGCATTGAAAATGTACAACTTTTTATTATTTTAAATTTGATGATTGCTATTTGTTGACATTTATGTAAAAAATTAACTTTAGGTTTACCATAAAAAGTAGAAAGTAAAATATTTGGCTGCTTAACAAAAGAAAATGAACTGCTGTAAACTTATGAGTTTACAGCTACTTTATAAACCTTCATTAAATTCATCTGTTGTGACTTCATTCATTCAATAGAGGCTAAACTAAATGTTTCTTGTAAGTCCTGAACAGTTTTCTTTAAAATAGGTTTAAGAAGACAAAATAAAGATGCTATACTTTTTCTACTCCACAATGACAGATTAAAGGGAGTTTTTATATTGAGGGGAAAATGTCAAAACATTTTTTAATCAACTTTGTGGATTAAAAACTGGTCTTAATATGAAGGGATTATTCTTCAATTAAGTAACAAAGTCAAACAGAATTTATGATCAAGACGTAAAAGAAGTACAAAACAGAAATCCTGCAGGACATGTACACAAAATTAGGAAAGTGTAGCAAAGCTATGATGCAAACTTAAAAGGCAATTAGGTCTAACTCACTTGGGGAAACTCTCTTCTCAAGCTTTTTGGTTCCTTCTGTCCAGAGCAGAGTCCAAACTCAGTAGGATCATTTAATTTGCTAGATTAGAGACATCAGGAGGGACAGGTCAGCCAATCAAAGTTAGACTTTTGGTAACATTATAGTGCTATATAAAAAATATACTGTGCATAAAAAATATTCTGCTTTTTAGAAACAATTTGTTGCTCGGAACATGTTGTTTCATGACTGGAGTTTGGTTTTAGAAAGTATGATTTCACACTCATTCAGAGAAACTTTGACATGTTTTGAAAGCTGTCAAGAAGATCATATGTTTCTTATATTTTGGAGATGTCACTTGTAAGAAATAATGTTTTTTTTGGTTGTTTTTTTTTTGTCAAATTAGTCCAGTTTGGCAAATTAGAAGTGACATTGACTTTTATCCACACAAAGATAAAATCTGACACATTAACATGCAGAGCAGCACCAATAATGTTGCCTGGCATCATGTTAGGGCAGTTCCACCTGTTATACATCCATGATAATAATATGTCCTGGAGCAGATGGGACATTACATGACAGAGCCATCAGCCTGATGTTAACAGATGGCATCTGGTTCCTCAGTTGGAATGTGATGTTTTCCCTCCCTTAAGAATCAATGAAAAAAATAAATAAATAAAATTTCAACCAGAATGTTCTATTTTGCTCTTATCACAAAGCGTTTAACAAAACAGCATCCTGCCTTGTCCATGTGATCCCTTGCAAAATTAAAATACTTCAGAAATCTGTCTGGGGAGCCTGATAAAAAAAAAAAAATTCCCTGGCTTTGTCATGCCCACCATTGTTTCCGCTTTCCCCTGGTGAACTTGCAAATATTAACATTAGGCAATGTGACGCAGTTATGTAAAAGTTACACGGAGTTCTTTCAGGCTTCACACAATAAAAGCCTTGATCTTGAAGTGATCTTTGTTAGAGGAGCTCACATACTGAGGGTAACAATGACCTCAAATTTCCTCCATTTGTGCAGAATCGCTCTATAAAGAAGAAAGATGGTTTTGTAACTATTTATGTCCCGAGAAGCATCAATGACTCTTTTCTGAAGTTCAGTTTTCCTTTTTGTCTTGTTTTTCTGACTTTCTTAGTGCTGTGATGATCAGTGTGTGTAAAAATCTGCTGAGAATTTGAGTGAAAAAAAAAACCTTTAAGGAACACCATTGGGTTTGTTGTTTTAAATTTTTATAATTTGATTAACAACTCAGCAGTTTTAATTCCAAAGAATGTTGCTGTTTTCCACCCTTAAATCCTGCTAATATTTGTAGAAAGAAAACAATTAGAGGCAGTCTTGTATGTGTGGAGCAGAATGAGGTGACTCATGCTAATCGTGGGCTGAAGCAGTCAAAACAGCCGCCCTTCTACTTCCATCTTCTCCAGCCTTCTTCTCTCATGTTCGCTTATACCATTACATCTCATTTTCATCCATTCATGTTCAGCCCACCTCTGAAGTGAAAATATGTCTCTTGTGTGTCTAGCAGTGAGTTGGAAACACTGCAGCGCTGCGAGGGGGGCAGCAGCTGCCTGAAGACATGTTACGAAGTGCCAGTCTTGGATCTCAGACGCCAAACTCTATTCAGGAAGTGACAGGCCCAGTTGTTAGAGTCAGGATCTGTGTTCCTGCTGTCAGCTTAGGAAGTGTCAGGGATGGAGCAAGTAACTGGTTTGGCTTTGAGAAGGGATTGGTGAAACTTGGGTAATATAGCGTGACACAATATGAAGTGGTGGTTGCATTTTTGCCTTAAAAATGATCTCTGCCCCATTTATGGATGAGGTGGTAACATCTTCAAACAATGATAGGAAAACCTGGGATTGGATTCAGCTTCTGATAAATTAGTTCACAGCATTTG